ACCCTGCACTCACTGGGCAGTGAGGACCTGGGTGAGAGGTAACCCTGAGTTTGGCACATAGGTGAGACCTGGGGGATAGTCACACAACCCAACCGTACATCCACGAGCACAAAACAAGTATAGACAGTGTCGGGGCCAAATGAATGTCCCTTTGCCCTCACAAGTTGAAAAATCAACTCACAATTAGACAGATTAGTAAGAAAAGGCATCATAAATCTATTGCTATTGTGTGCAGGGGGAAGGCTCAGAGAAATCGCCCAATATCTCAGTGAGACCCAGATGTTCATATGTGGGTCTCATTGAGATATTGGAAATACCGTACTTATTAAGAGAAAAGGAGATGGGGAAATATGGCTGATTTTATGGAGATAGTAAGTGATTGGGGGGTGGGGGGGAATTCAATGAGCTTGAAGAACATAAAATGACCTGGACCAAAGTCTCTTGGGCTCACAGAGCAGATAATGGTTTGTGATAAAAGTCTGTCCAGATGTGTTAACAGACTTTAGTTGATCCTTCCCACAGTATAAGTTCAATTAATAAACACTGAGGGCAAGGACCAGAGGTAATTGTTTTCTTTTAGGTAAGTCCAGATTTTAGGCAGAGAAGGAAACTTCAGAGAACAACCGTATCCTTTGCTTTGGGAAAGATGATGCATGTGAAGGGAAAAGGTCAGAGAGGCCTTGAGGCTTCCTTTTTTCAGTTCAGTTTATATAAAGCACCATATTTTAGGGTATTGGTTTATGAGCCCAAACTACAGGACTATTCCTTGCTGGTCTTCAAGACAACAGAGGGAAAAGAACTCATCACAGCCAGGAAGCTTTCATACCAGAAATACAAGGCTGGTTCCACATATGCAAATCCATAAACATTATTCCCCGTTTAAATAGAAGTAAAAACAAAGACCATATGATTTTCTCAATAGATGCAGAAAAAAGCATTCGACAGAATTCAGCACCCTTTTTGGATAAGAACACTTAAGATAATTGGTATAGACAGAACATTCCTTACATTGATAGAAGCCATATATGATAAACCCATAGCCAACATCATACTGAATAGAGAGAAATTAAAAGCATCCCTGCTTAAAGCTGGAACTACCACTACTAAACACCCAGCATAGTGCTGGAAGTCCTAGCCATTGCCATCAGACATGAGGATACCAAGGGTATTGTAATGGAGACAAAAGACATCAAACCATCACTCTTTGTTGGTGATGTGATCTTATCCTTAGAAAAAATCCAACAACTCCACCAAGAGACTCTTTGAATTGATAAATGAATACAGAAGAATTTCAGGATGTAAAATCAATGTACACAAATTTATTTCTTTCGTATATGCCAAAAACAGTCATGCCAGCCACATACACCTGAGTTGGTGGGTTTGAATCCAGCCTGGGCCCAGCCATTGGGTTCAAACAATGACGGCTGCAACCAAAAACTATCCGGGCATTGTGGGAGGCACCTGTGGTCCCAGCTACTTGGGAGGCAGAGGAAGGAGAATCGCTTGAGCCCAGGAGTTGGAGGTTGCTGTGAGCTGTGATGCCACGGCACTCTACCCAGGGGGACAGCTTGAGGCTCTGTCTCCTAAAAAATAAATAAATAAAAAAGAAGAACCCAAACTATAGTTTTAAAGTGCCAAAAAAGTAGACTAGAACCCTGGTCTTCCTGGAAGGAAGAGAGGGAAGGAGGAGAGAGGGAAGAGAGAGGGGGAAGAAAAGGAAAGGAAGGAAAGAAAAAGAATAGAAGTTAGTATCAGAAAGAATCGTTCAGCCAGGCTCTCGGGAGTTAGAGTATGAAGTGTTCTAAACCAATGACAGAAAGTGTATCACAGATTTGGGCCACAATCAGCGACTTATCCTTGTACATAACCCAACCAGCTTTAATTTTTATGCAGCATTTTGTGAACTTCCAAGCACTGGGTCCTACCCATATGACTGATGGTCATGACAACTCACTGAGGGGGCAGGTAAGGTAAGATCCCTCGGGAGACTAAGGCCTGAAGTCAAAGACATTCACAGCACATTCAGCCAGGAAGGTAAAAGTCAACAGCCTGAGCCAGAAGGAGACCCCGTCTCTAGGAAAAATAGCCGGGCATTGTGACAGGTGCCTGTAGTCCCAGCTACTCGGGAGGCTGAGGCAAGAGAATCACCTGAGCCCAAGAGTTGAGGTTGCTGTGAGCTATGACAGCATAGCACTCTACGGAGGGTGACAAAGTGAGACTCTGTCTCAAAATAAAAAAAAAAAAAAAATACTCATCTAAGAGTTTTATCCAGCACTTTCTGTGACAGCTTCTTCTTAAGCAATGTGTTTCAGATCTGATACCTTTATTATTTCTTACTGCTATTCCAGTCAGGCCTAATTCCTTCAACCAAATCCTGCAATCCCAGCTTCTCAACTTCAGCCCATCTTCATCAGTGACAATCGTCCTTTGTAGTTTGTTCATTCGTTCTTGTGTTTGATGTGTATTTACTGAGCCCCTACTGGGGCAAACACCATGGTGAGCACGGAGTTACAGGTGGGCTGAGCAAGCCTCTCCAGCCACCCCCGCAGGGCACACCCAGTGAGTGCTCCTTAGTACGGAGCACACACCATCTCTTCATTGTAGTGCTTGCTCCGTGCCAACAGTAAACTCTCCATCATTAATGTTTCATACCAGTTGACTAGCATTCTCCTCATTTTATCCAGGCAAACATTCCCTATTCTAACCTAGAGAATGTCCCATTCCTGTTCTACCCTCAATATCACTCACTTCATAACCTATATGTTTTTTCTATGCACAATAAATAAATTATGCCTCTCTATGATAAATAAATTATTCTCTTTCCTCACGTTCAAATCTTTTCTCTTACACCTTGGAAGTGCCACTCAGCAATTCTACAGCTACAGAGTTCTCATTTGGCTTCAGTGCTTCCCCCAGTGCCCTCGGCATTTGCATCTAGCTGTGACTTTTCATGGTGTGTGTGTGTTATTGTCATTCACTGGCTCTGAGCCTTTAAAATTACTCGAGCTTTGAACCGGTATTTGCACTCCAAGTTCATAGCACCATCATTCACAACAGCCAGGAGTGGAAGCATCCTGAGTGTCCATCAGTGGTTGATGGGTAAACAAAGCATAGTGTACACATGCAGTGGAATGTTATTCCACCTTAAAAAAGAAGGAAATTCTGATGTACAGTATAGCAGAGATGAATCTTTAGGACAGTATGCTAAGTGAAATAAGTCGTCACAAAAGGACAACTAATGCATGATTCCACGTATACATAGTATGAGGAATCTAGAGTAGTCAAAAGGAAGGAAGTACGGAGAACCCTCAAAGAACTCAAACTAGACCTCCCATTTGATCCTGCAATCCCATTACTGGGCATCTACCCAGAAGGAAATAAAAATCCTTTTATCATAAGGACATTTGCACTAGGCTGTTTATTTCAGCTCAATTTACAATTGCCAAACTATGGAAACAGCCTAAATGCCCACCAATCCAGGAATGGATTAACAAGCTGGGGTATACATATACCGTGGAATACTATTCAGCCACTAAAAAGGATGATGACTGTACATCTTTTGTATTAATTTAGATGGACTTGAAATATATTCTTTTTAGTAAGGGACTCTAAGAATGGAGATGCAAGAGTCCAATGTACTCAATTCTGATTTGAGAACAATTGATACTAGTACATGGTGGAGGGAGGGGGTTTGGGGGTGGGGGGAGAAGGAAGGAGAGAAGGGGGTGGAGTCCATGGTGTGTGACACTATCGCGGGTCACCATTAATAGAGGGACTTAACCCCGCAAAAGTGAGCAGGGTAACCTGGCTCATTATACCCTCAATAATTCCCCAAACATTATTTTAAAAAGATAGAAAATTGCCAAGAGCTGGAGGGAGGGAGGGAGGGAGGAAGAGTCAGTGTTTAATGCGTGCAGGGTTTTAGCTTTGCGAGATGAAAAACGTCGTACAGATGGATGGTGATGAGGGTCGCATAGCAATGTGAACGCTCCTACTTCATCCCACTGAACTGTACACTTGAAAACGGTTAAGATGGCAAATTTATGTTGTGTGCATTTTACCAGAATTTTAAAAAATGTTTTCTAAAATTGCATATGTTCATTCCCTTTCCCTCTTCATTTGTGAGGGATTTGAGGGAACCGCCTATGCCTGTCTTATAATCCTGGTTGTTATTTATAATGTTCTCTAAACCCTGAAAACATTTGATAAACAAATATGCTCAGTCAACTTACCTGAACATGACCGAAAATCACAGGTCCTGAGAGAAGGTGAAGAGGAAAGAGGACATTCTTCACCATCAGGATGAATTTGTCCTGTAAAATCTGGATTCAGTCAAAGGCTGCACTTCAGGACCAAGATTGAGGTCCCAGGATCCCCACCCCTGGCCAGAGGGCACTTCCTTAAATAGATTTTTGAAAAATGGTGGACGCAAGTGTAATCATGAATAAAGGAAGCCTCTGAGCACTCTACAAAAAAATGGATGAAGTAAGATAGAAGAAGTGCCTCAGACTGTAAGGAAAAGTGCAAGGAAATTAATCTCATTTCTACAAAAGAAAGACGTGAGCCAGTGAAAATAATAATAATGTATTTCTTTCGAGGCCAACGCTAAACTTCAGTTGCAGATCTGGCCCGTGGTGGAACTCACAAGTCTTATTGGCAATATATGTGAGGAGACAAAAAGCAGCATATGGAGAAATACAAAAATACACTCCCCAGAGAAGCTGCCTCTTCAGATGTCAAGAAAAACTGGATGAAGCACAACAAGAGTGGCACAGCTACAATTCAAGGCCGCCCACAGAGACAAACATCAAAACTCAGGCCGCTGATTGCTGAAATAATCCCTTTCTTTATGATTTCAGAAGAAGAGTCTGGGGAAGGAAAAGATAGAGCTTGGATCATGCTACAATGTTTACTGACTCCACCCTTAAAATAGGAATTACACGTGGGAGAAAGGACCATCCCTTGCCCAGTTAGATATTTCTGGTTTCCATCTCTCCTGGGGAGCTGGTCTCTTGGCCAGCCTGACATCTGGTCCACTCTTCTGTCCTGTGCCCTGAGGATCGTGATGATAGAAATTACATCATTATTTTGCAACCTGGTAACTTAACTCAGCTCCTGGTATGTTGTAGATACACAGGAGGTGTTTTTTTTTTTTTTAATTAAACAGTGGATGACTGAAAAGAAGATTGGACAAATGGCCCTTGGTATTCTGTTTCCACTGCTGATTAGCTGCGTGACCTTGATGGGGGTATTTAACTCTGGGTATCTCTGATTCCTCACTGCTAAATTAGAGGTAATAAGAGTTCCTACTACAGAGGCTTTGGAGGATTAACATACAGGGGATGCCAAAAATATTTATACACAGTTTAAGAAAGGAAAAAACTGTATGGAAATTGTCACATTCAAGACACATTTGACTTTTGCAATTATAAGAGGTGCTCAAACGTGATTTGTATTTATCTTTTATCATTGGAATATATTATTACAATTTAAATGTAGTTTTTTTTCTTTCTTAAAATATGTATACATTTTTTGATACCTTCTGTGCTAACTGTCATGTGAGTTATAATTAAATTATACTAGTTTTGAGCATGGGGCCCTGTGAAGCACATAACTCATACATCTCTTCACTTACCTTGATCTAATAAAACACTGTAGCCCCAAGGGGACAAAAAAATTTTTTCCCAGAGTGATCGTCAATGTGGTAAATGATTTAGGATGGCAAAAAGGTTTAGATCAGGGCCTGGAAATAAATAATATTACTTCCTCCTCATAATTATTTTTGCTAAGAGATTGGATAAATCTATAGCCACCATATATTTCACTATAAATGAAGAATAAAAAAAATTCTTAGAAGTACTAATGTAATGTAAAGAAATTCAGCATAGCTACCACCTAACAGTAAAACCTCACCCTTCATAAATTTGAGGCACTAAGTCATACAGAACTACAACCATTTTTACAGAACACTAGAATGCTAGAATAATTTTAATGCATTTTAAATTAAGACATCCTATTATAACGTGTGCCATATAATTCTTTCTGTTCTTTTTAAAAATATTCGAAAAATAATTTAATTTTTTCCATGTGTTTCAGATCACTATGACTCTCATAAATCATTTATTCCTCATTCAGCCGTTTTTTATTAAACATCTATTATGTTCTCGACACCAAGGATGCAATTGTGAAATAAACACAAATTAAGTGGTGAATAAACCCTTTTTGAGGTTATATTCCTATTAGGAAAAATAAATATATACTGTATATCTACATACAAAGACTTAATGATATGCACATACATACATACAAATAAATAGATGCAAACGTAAGTATATACACAATGACACCCGTGGATACACATAGATGTACACACATAGATATACGGATACACATGTGCACAGACACACACAGATAAACACACATAAATACACACAGTAATAGATGCCTGCACCATGGATACAGGTCCATAGGCACAGATACCTGTACACACACATGTGTGGGTGTACACATACATACACACACATGCCACATCATGGGACAATGACTGTCCTGAATAAAAACGGTCGCAGAAGGCAAGACAAAAATCAGATGGCTTACATAGTATATGCAGAGATGGACTCTCTGATGCAATGACATTTAAGCAAAGAATTGTTTGAAATAATGGCACTTTGGGAAGGGACTAGGTCACGGAAGAGAAGACAGGAATGGGAAAGGCTGAGGTAGAAGCACGTGTGGAGATTCGGGGGACAGCACAGACGTGGTATTGCCAGAGAGCAGTAGGCCAGAGGGGGGAGAACAGGGTGGGAGAATATCAGGAAGGTAGACTGGATGTATAATATGGATTCGGATTTTGCTCTAAATAAATGGGAGGAGATTGCAGGGATTCTGTGCTGAGCAATGACGTGATCTGACTTGTGTTGTAGAAGTGTCACTGTGGCCAGGCACGGTGGCCCACACCTGTAATCCCAGCACTCTGGGGAGCCAAGGCGGGTGGATTGCCTGAGCTCAGGGGTTCGAGACCAGCCTGAGCAAGAGCAAGACCTTGTCTCAAAAAATAGCCAGGCATTTTGGCAGGCACCTCTACTTGGGAGGCTGAGGCAAGAGATTCACTTGAGCCCAAGAGTTTGGGGTTACTGTGAGCCGCAACGCAACAGCACTCTACCCAGGGCAACAGAGTGAGACTCTGTCTCAAAAAAATAAAAAAGCGTAACTTTGACTGCTGTGTGCATAGTGGGTGGGAGGTGGGAGGAGGTCCAGGATGAGGAAGGAGAGCCCTTAGGAGATTCTTGCAGGAAGGACCATGATTGTGGCTTAAACGAAGATTCTGGACATATGTGAAGTAGAGTCAAAGGGATCCGCTGAGGGATGGGATGTCTGAGGGTGGTGGATCTGGGGACACAGCCATATGTGATGTGCTGTAGCAGGCGTGCGGACACTTGCTTTTGTGAAATGTCCTTTATGTCAGCTTGCTTTTGTTTTTGTTGTTTTGTTTTCATTTCTTTGTGACTGAGGTAGAGTGAAATTCATGAGTGCCTGTGGTAGACTGGATTGTTTAACCGTAGCTCTGTGTGGAGTTCACAGTTCTAAGTCTGATTCCAGCAGTGAGACTCTTGGCCTCTCTGAGCTTCAGTTTCCTCCATAATAGAGGAAGAAACTTTCTAGCTTTGCAATCTGTGGAGTCTCTACCTCTCTGTGCTTGAACTACAGATTAGTATCAACTTGGTCAAAGGCCTTCCCAGTTGGTACAGTCCATTGGAACCAGGAAGGAACTAATTTAGTCATCTGAAGGAACTCAGTGATTTTTTTTCCTTCTCTCTCTCTTTTTGAACAAAAAAGAATAAATTTTAGAATTTTTATAAAGTTGATTAGCTTAGTTTCCACTGATACCAAGAATTATGCCAGAAATTTTAGGGTTCTAAACCACTTGCTACTGTACTTTTTTTATTTAAAAAGCATGTATTCTTGGGCTATAATTGGAAAGCTATAGGAAAGCTATAAATTAGTTTCATAGTAGGGCGGAGTACATTGGATACTTTTTCTTCCATTCCTGAGATACTTTGCTAAGAAGAATATTTTCCAGCTCCATCCAGGAGAAGGGAGGGGGGAAGATGGGTGGAGGAAGGGTGATTGGTGGGATCACGTCTATGGTTTATCTTTTAAGGGTACCTGTGAATCTTTCTAAATAAAGAATATAAATGTCTCAACACAATAACTAAGAAAATGACATGAAGGTTATGCTAAGCAGTTTGATGAAAATATTTCGAATTGTATATAAAAATAGCACACTGTACACCATGACAGTATCAATGTACACAGCTATGATCTAATAGAAAAAAAAAAGAAATTAAGAGAAAGAGGAAACATGCAAGTCATTAAGAGATAGCATATCAAATTTTTGAAATATATGATCACTTCCTATCAGTGATAGAATAAAATTATGTTGTCAAGCACTATAATTATTCTTTGATTAAATCAGTACTACCCTTAAAAAAAATAAAAAGCATGTATTTTGAAGTAAATTGTAGAATACATGTATCAGTCTTCTGTGTTTTTTCTCGGAGCAGCCGTACTAAAATTCTACTTACGTGATCTGTAGGGAAGGCAAGGAAAGACAGGACAGCTAAATGGGTAAAGCAGAGTTTATGGAGCCAGACAGGGTTGTGAAACCCAGCCCTGCCACTTACTGTGTGACCTTAAACAAATGATTCAACCTCTCTGTGCTCAGATTCCCCACACCTGGGGTGGGGATAACAGTAGGATTGTACGAGGATCTAGTCAGTTAATATCTGGTAAGCACTTGTAACATTGCCTGACACAGAGAAAAAGTAAATAGGAGTTCTACGTGATTCTAATTCCTTCTCTCTGCTCAAATACCACCCCTTCCTAATCTTTTAAGGAATTTGAAAGATGTTTGATATTTGAAATGTCTGCATATCTTTCAAGGAATTATTTTTAATGGCAAAATGATACCCTTGCCCTGGAACTGTAACTTACGATGGACTGTTTGTGAAATGTGCCCTTTTAAGCACCATGGATTTCCCAATCGGGAAGAATTCAGTTAATCCTGCCCCGGTCATTTATTGGCTGTACGTATTTGGGGGCAGTTCTTTCTGAGATTCTCTGCGTACATCTGTGGGATGAAGATTAAGACGGGTACTTCTTGAGGTTAGTGTTAGGATAAAAGAGATAACTTAGGCAAATGCTAGAAAATGTATGGTTTATTTCTGCACACTCAGTCAAAAGGCGTGCAACTCAAGGCAGTGCATGGGAAATTTAGCACGATGCCTCCAGGATCCAGAAGTGAACGTGTCTGTGGAACACGCATGCCCGAGAGCTGTTTACAAGAAGACAAGGGCACCCATGGTGACACTGCTCCCATGAGCAAAGGGACCCAGCAATGCCCCTGAGCTGTGGGCATTGTCCGGCTACTCAGGGTCTCTGCACAACCCCCTGCAGCCTCTCACCTCTCTGAATCAACCATGCTTTGCTTGGTGGTTCCTCCTTCCTAATTTCAGAATATTTAGTACTAACACTTGGCTGAGGAGGTGGCAAATTCCCCTGTTCAGTTCATGAGGAGCTTTTCCAAATTGTCTCTCTTTGTGTTTGAGATTTTTTTTTTTTTAACGTGGGCTTTGGATTTTAAATGCACACTTAAGAAATGGCAGCGCTATGCAACATTTCTTTATTTCCTGCTTGGTCCCATGTCACTAAGAGATAAAAGCAGCATTGCTTAGAAGTGAACACAGTCCAGGGTGTCAGGACACGGGCCCAACCCCAAGGCACCCTCACCAACCAGGAGCCTCTGTGCAGTCTTTTCACCTGTGTGTTTTCTCGACTCTGAGGGGAAGATATTGAACGGATAGTTTCTGAGATCTTCATCTGTAATGATTTGACTCCTTTATTTGAAAGGTGAAGGTCAGTGGAAGATCCCGATTCTCGCACTGTCAGTCTGGATGGAGGAGAAGAAGGTCCTTCCAGCCCCCGCTGGTGGTCTGACCTCAAAGCCCTCCCCACCAAGTTCTAAATCAATACCCTCTTGATCAATTGAGGAAGCAGGCCATCAGGACACGGAAAGGAATCATTTTTCTTTGTGTATGATTTTTTTAAATATATTTCTCTTCCTGA